AATCAGCTCTTTTCTCTATCAATAGAAATCGAATGTTTTTTTAACCATTCAAATCGGTTGATCCGTGCGCCCGACAACGTGACTGGAAATTTGTATCCATACATACCTACACACACACATCCATTTTTTCTGAAGTATGCCAAAACGTTCAGAAACTTTCAAAACGTCGAGAAATGTAAAAATTTTCAATTTTTATTTTCGGCCCATTACAATAACTTACTCTACGGGAAGTTAATAATTCAACCAATTTTCGTAGGACTGTTTAGTGCATGAAATTTATCGCCAAAATAAATTTCAGTAAAAACGCCGAAATACTTCGCAGTAAACAATTTTATATTACCGTTAGGTTGCGGTAATATAAAAATGTTACCTAGTAGTTATAACGGCAACCTCACCTTCCCTAACAAATTCTGTTACCTGAAGATTACTATTTCCTACCCTGTTAAGTAACATGTTATATAACATTGTTAAGTTGCGGTAACTTACGTCAATCTATACCTAAGCGATTAAATTTTTTTAAGAAACTTAATAAATTACTTTGTGAAATATTAAGCATCTGCTATAAGAAAATACTGGTACATGACTGGTACAATGACATATATCATGTACGTAGTTTTAATTATATTTAACGATTTAAATTGTGGGCTCAAAGTAGACTGGACTCAACCAAAACTAGTGGAGTATATGGCATCGTGTCTTAAGGCAAATTGCTGGAACTTCCCGTACCGTATCAAAATGTTCGAGGAATACTGAATGTTTTCAAATAGATTATTATAAATATTGTAACATTGTCTAATATTTATAAGAATTATAATAAACTGATTTGCAAAGTTGAAATTATTTGTGTTAAAGTATATTAGAACTATCGTCAGAATTAAAAATTAAAATCTGAATTACATTCGATATACAAAAAAAAAATTTTCTGAAAAAAAAATTGAAAAAAAAAGTTGAAACAAAAATTTTTTTTTCCAAAATCAATTATTTTGTTAAGACAAGCTGAAAGTTCTTTGGATCATTTAAATCTGCCGCATAGTTCTCTCTAAAACTGCCATTTTTGCACATTTAGCTCCGTATCTTCGAAATGGTCTGCCTTTGCCAAAAACTAATAAACACTTCTCCCAATCATTACTAATTGAATGTTTTTTAGATCATTCAAATCAGATGCTCCGTTCTCTCAAAAACTCGATTTCTAATTTCCGCACTCTTTGCTCTTTATCTCCGTAACTGCTGGACCTGCCTTTGCCAAAAACTAATCAGCACATCTCCCTATCAATAGGAATCAAATGTTTTTGAACCATTTAAATCGGTTGATCCGTGCGCCCGAAAACGTGACTGGAAATTGTATCCATACATACCTACATACACACACACACATCCAATTTTTTTTAAGTATGCCAAAATATTCAGAAACCTTCAAAACGTCGAGAAATGTAAAAATTTTCAATTTCGATTTTCGGCCCATTACAATAACTTACCCTACGGGAAGTTAAAAATGAGAATGATATGTCATAATATAGATGTATTATATGTATATATTTTTGTAAACAAATATTTTGTAAAACATTTTTATAAAGTTGGAAATTATTAATTATAAATTAACACACTTCCACAAAATAAATGGTAACATTTTTTACAAAACTGGAGAAGGTTTGTATACTGTTCATTTACTTTTTTACTAATTCTAAAGCCATTTCTAGTTAACTTGACTGATACAGAAGTTGAAATCACAGAAGCGACCTTTAACACAAATTTTGACTATAATATTTTTTTCAAATTTTGATAAATTTTTAAAATTAAACTAATTATCGTAAGGCCGTAATATTTCAGTATGTTCTATAAGACCATGATATCTATCATCAAAAAAGTTTCATAAAAATCGGCAAAAAATTGTGTTTAACAACATCGGCCGAGTTAATTGCAATAAAATGGCTCGGTCGATTTTTACCTAAAACTAATCAGTATCATTCGCAACTAAAGATCACTAAAGCTGCTAGTAGAACCAGATTTAGTGGATGCTTTATCAAGTAGTTTACACAATTTTGATAGGCATCTGGTGTGTCTGGTGTTCGATCAGTTTTTGATTTTTTTTAAAATCGATTCAGGACTGTGAGCTAAAACGTGGAGTTTTACACTGTTTTGCAAATAACAAAGAAACTCGGCCGATAGTCGCACAAAAATGAGAAACGATAGTCCTCATCGAGATACACAGAATGGCTTTTAAATTTTTGAAATCGGTCCAGCCGTTTTTGAGGAAACGTAGATTTAATAATTTTTAATAAAAAATCTGTTTATATATACAATAGTATTTCCAAATTTAGCCTCATTCAATTCAGAATGGCTTTAAACTTCGAGAAAACATAAAATTACCAAATCGAATTTTTTGATGAAAACAAACTTCTCTCCTTCGGGAAGTTAAAAAAGCAGTCAGTTAGGAATAATTCGCATAGAGCTGAAACCATTACAAATAAAATCGATCCGACATATGCGATTTTTTTATTGAAGGTCAAAGGCACAAAATTCTCGTTTTACCCATTTTCCGAGAAGAAGATTTTATAATAATCCGTTGGGTTATGTTAAGATAATATAAAATTAAGTGAAATTTTGAAGTATAAAACTATAGTGTCAGCTCCTAATCACCTTCCTTCGTAAGCAACACCCGCCAGCTGTGGGAAAGTCACATATTGTTTTGAACTGTTTTTGAAGCGAATAAACGAAATTATTAAGTACTTGCAGGGCGTATGATGACAATCCAAAATCGCACGTTTAAAAATATTAATGGCTCTAGAATTATTGTCATATATTTTGGAGCAAGTAAACCTATCTAATATATTTTTTTATATTTCTCATGGTTACTGCGGAAAATGAAGAAAACTAGAATTATATATCTTTAACCTTGAATAACAAATAAATCGCAGATGTCGGATCGATGAAGTCTTTCGACATTTTATTTGTAATGTAACCAATTTTCAGCTCTAGGCAAATTATTCCTAATTTGAATCTTAACCTTTAACGAACAATCACATTACCTAAAACTATGCCCAGTAGGTCGACGGATTTTTAAGAAATTATGTGCTTCTTTTCCAAAGCTAGTGATGTTGCATAATTAAAATCGCTTTATTGGATTTGAATAGCTTGGCTAATATTGCTTTTTCACCAATATTCAAATTTATTTTCTAACTGAATTCTGCAAATTTTCTCCCAAAATTCTTCGTGTATGCCGGCATTCGATTATTTTAGAATATTTACAATGTCGCGAACCTGGCGACATCCGTTCGTTAAGGATTAATTTGACTGGGCTACACAAATTTCTTCAAATTCTGCTGGACGAGGTTTTATTAATTTTTTTTTCGAGTTGTAAAAATTTATTGAATTAATTTTAATACAGATAGATATAATTTAGGACAAAAATGATTGCTTTGACTAACCTTAGTTTTGATTCTGTAATCCTTGACCGCTGTGTTGATTTTCTTGCAGTGGTTTTAGTGGCTCCATTAAATTACATAAAGTGGTTGTGGCACTGATTGTTAGTTTTAGTGGCTCCAGTAGATTACACTGTTATTAAACACTGGGCGCTTTTTAGTTTATTTTAGTTAGTTGTTACTAGTTTTTCACTGGAGGTCGAATCCGGCTCGATTGGACCAAAAAATGTTTATTAAAAAAACTCAATTAATGTCACTACACAAAGCACTGTAATTATCTTGAAGGACCAGATATAATTTATTATTAAAAAGGCTATATCAGACCTGATATAGAATAACTGATTGAAAAATAAGTAAATAATAGTTTAGTAAATAATTTGTATTTCTTAGTATAATGTAAATGGTTCAAGTGATGCATACAGAATTATTTTCTTAAAGCTATCTTAATCCTAGGGTAAATTAATTTTATTGCATCTAGGTAGAAAAGATTAGATATAACATTTGCAAGAAACATGAACAGATAAGTTTTCATCACTGTTGTAATGCATTCTTTAGTTTTAATAAAATGCATTACGTCTAACACTTGCCTTGCAGTTTTTTAGAATTCGATATGCACAGAAATATTATTAATGGCGCAATAAAATTTATTGCCACTTGTTGAAAGTATATATAATTTGAAGTACAAAATGTACATTAAAATATTGCATTTTAAACACTACATGTTTAGAAAATACTTGTGCTGCAAGAGTAACCCTCGTTTTTTCATATTTATTTCATCAAGGTGGTATTCTGTTAAAGTAGAGCATTTACAAAACATGCCCAATTTGCTATCAACAGTAAAGTCTCTCATATCCTTCCAATAATTTGCATGCTTCTCCTTTTGAATTTATGAATCCTATTGCATCCTCATGCATTTAAGCAAATGAGGAGGGTCATTCAAAGGAACTATTTCATGGTTAGTTATTTCGAGTGCAAATTTATTTAACACGAGATTTACTAATCTATACAGTTCTTCAGTATCTTTTAGAAGCATATTTATAGTTTTGCCATTAGTAGCAAACTGATCACAAATTGTTGCAATAATATTTAGACCAATATTTAATCATTTTTTTATGGCATATACAATAATATATTTTAAACTTAAGCTATTCACATGCTCACCAAAGAAGTAAAATGTAACAGGTTGTACCCAACAATCTTATGCCTTTAACTAAAAGGACAAGAGAATGATTAGCAACTATACTTCTCCTACCAGTTCCTGAAAGCCTACAATAAGATCCTTTTTCAGTCATAAAATAATGCAGATGATGATGAAACTTCATCAAACATCAGAATGCAACTTTTGCTATTCACATTTTTTTGTGCCATAGCCAAACCCAAGGCTTGGAAAAGAATCTCATTAATATCACTATAGAATAGGATTGCTGAAGTAACTTTCACAATGTTTGAGGAGCGGGCAAATGAGGAGAAGAAATTGTATGCAGAGTTAAAGCAAGAATCTTATCATTAAGTATAAACTATCTTCCTTTTAGCTTTTTTGTATGTTCTCTTAATTGATTTAATATAAAATTATTAGCCCTCGTATTCAATGTTGCTGGATGATAAGTAAAGTTTTAAGCACACTTCAGACTTGCAACTTCTCCCTCAATGTTTTGTTTTCTGTGTATTTATTCTTCTCACCTTATTTCTCAATACACTAGGTATGTGGAATAAATTTAGTTTTTAGCATGTTCGATCAGTGCAATGGTTGCATCTCGAGGTAAGAATATCTGCTGAAAAAAATCAATATGAAATTATTTGCTATAAACATAAATTATTATTGCAGAAGGTTTTTTACTTTGTCTAGCATTATTTATATCCTTACCCTACAAAGCATTAATACATTTGTTGTCTTTCTGGCCGACTCAGATATCTCTTGCATCTCTACTAGTATAGAATCAAAGTAAGCTACAATAAAACTTTAAATCAAAAGAGTACTAATAGATAAATATTTTACATTACATTATGTTACATACAGTAGAACCTCGGTTAACCCGACTAATTGTTTTCGATAGGCATTCGGATAATCGAAAATCCGGATAATAGAATGTATGAAGTATAATGTTGTGTATTAATTAAAAATAACAAATACATACAAATATATCAACAAAAATAATATTTATTAAGAGTTTGAAACTTTCTCATTCATGTATATATATATTTTCTTAGATTTCATTATTTACATATATACATACTAAACTGCAGCATTAATCATGCAAAAATTCGAATTCTAGGTATGTACATACATATAAATTAGTTGCAGTTGGTAGTCCGGATAATCACGAAACCGTATAGCTGAGGTCAGGATAAAAGAGGTTCTACTCATAGATAAAAGAAGAGTATACTACTGTGGTTTTACTGTATTGATAAAAGTGAATTACTTAGGCCATCCATTTCATTGATACATGATGTTTTAATTGAAGTTGAAGGCTCAAAATAATTGAAAGCTTTTACAATATCTTTGCTATTTTCGAAGTGCAACACCTAGTTCACCTAGGATACTTTTAAGTAAACTCATAATTCATTTCAAGTTTATATGTAATATATGTAACAAAATGTGGTTTCATCCAGAAGACTTCTTTAAGATCTTTTCTAAGTATGGATCTCCACTGAAATCTAAATTATGAAATCATGAAGAAAGAATGTTTTTTACAGATTATATCATTATATTGAAGTGCAAACCTGGCATGTTCAACCATATATGAATATATTATATTCTAATATTATCTAGATGTTTAACGATGTAAGGCAATGCATTTGTTTTGAGAGTTGTGTCTGTTGTGCACAAATAGCGGCATGTATTGCAATGAAAAGGAGTTAACTTTTAGATAAAGATTTTGAGTTCTTTTCATCCCAATAACAATCATCTATAAAATTTAAAACCATACTTATTTGTCGCCAATGTTTGGTTATTTTTTTACGAACTTTTTTATTTCTCACATACATGCATTGACATGATATTTTTGAGCATTGATTGAATTTAAACAGACGTCGACTAATCACTCGAAACACAACTGAATACAACGAACTAGAATACTCGCACATTATTTTTATGACGGTATCATATACTTGTTTATCTACGGGTCACATGTCGGTTCTGTGACAGAACTTCTGTCACACACCACACACCACACACCACATAGATAAGTAACCATAAACCATACACACACATACTAATGATAGTTACTATGAATACTAATGATATGGATACTAATACTAATGATAGTTACTAATGGATACTAATGCATGCGCAAAGTTCATTTTTTGAACGTGTGTGGCAGCATATGTCTCGTTTTTAAGACGAGTATACTTGACAGTGAACCTTATGTATCTATGGGAGTAACCACCTAGCTAGAAACTATAACGATATAAACCATAGATAAATAAGCATTAACTTTTTAAAAAGATTTTTTTTTAAAAAGATTAACATTTTTGAAAAAAATTTACTCTGAAAAAATTAGATTTTTTGAGAAACTATAAATTTTTGACAAAAATTTACTTTTTTAAAAAAAAAAAACCGAAGAAAAATTTATTTTGAAATATTTTGGAAATTCTGAACTATTTTTCAAGGCAAATCGTACTGCTTTAACTGCATAGAGACGAAATATCGAAGCGCGTAAGCCCCGCGCCGCCGTCTAACGAATAAACATTGGTACGGAACCCATAGGAATGTAAACAAAATTTATACTTATTGTTAAAATCTCTAAAATATCTGATAATTTGATGTGCATATGTCTAATGATCATTTTTGACCGCCAGATGGCATTTTTTTTTACTTTTTTTTACTAGATCTCCAAAAACCGCTAGACCTGCCTTCATGAAAATTCCATCAGTTCTTCATCTTGTTAATACAAGTATAATGTTTTTTGAGTTATTCAAATCGGGGTAAAAAGTTCCAAAAACCGTTTTTAAGTGAACGGAGCGTCCGATTTGAATAATTCAAAAACCATTGTATTAACAAGATGAAGAACTGATCAAATTTTCATGAAGGCGGGTCTAGCGGTTTCGGAGATCTAGTAAAAAAAAGTAAAAAAAAAATGCCATTTGACGGTCAAAAATGATCATTAGACATATGCACATCAAATTATCAGATATTTTATAGAGATTTTAACAATAAGTATACATTTTGTTTATATTCCTATGGGTTCCGTACCAATGTTTATCCGTTAGACGACGACGCGACGCTTACGCGCTTCGATATTTCGTCTCTATGCAGTTAAAGCAGTACGATTGCTTTGAAAAAAGTTCAGAATTTCCAAAATATTTCAAAATAAATATTTCTTTAAAAAGTCTTTTTTTAAAAAAAAAGTAAATTTTTGTCAAAAATTTATAGTTTCTCAAAAATCTAATTTTTTCAGAGTAATGATTTTTTAAATATGTTAATCTTTTTAAAAAAAAATAATTTTTGGTACGGGAATTTATTTTGGTCCAGCAATTTGCCTTAAGGCACGTTTTCAACTATGGCTAAACTTAGGGTGTTCTTGGTGTAAATAAATTTAGTAATGACCACAGAATATTGTGACAAAATTTTGGTGTGTTTTTTTTTAATTTTTAACTCTTATAATTGAGTTTGAAATGACTACTCTCTCGGGATAAAGTGCACTAGTTGTTTGCCCAGTTTTTTAACTTCCAGTAGGGTAAGTTATCGAAAATGAAAATCATTGCATATCTTCACGTTTCTGAACATTTTGGCATACCTCAAAAAAATTGATGTATGTGTATGTATGTGTGGATACAATTTTTCGTAGCCGTTTTTTCGGGAGTACCGCTCAACCGATTTGAATAATTCAAAATTTCAAACCGATTCTTATTTTTAGGGCAATGTGTTGATTAGTTTTTAGGAAAGGTCGGTGCCACCGTTTTTGAGATACGAAGCAAAGTGTGCAAAAAAAGAAAATACATTTTTTGAGAGAACAGGGCGCCCGACTTGAATGATTAAAATATCATTCAATTCGTATTGCTAAGAAGAATAGTACTTTAGTTTTTGGCAAATACAGACCAGCCGTTTCAGAATCAAAAAACATTTTGCTTGTGATGAAAAGATTAGTGTTTGGGGAAAACAAAAAAAAATATTACAAATTTAAATTTTTTTTTTTGATTTCCCAAAAAAAATCTTTTGGATACCAAAAATGATTCGGGTTTTAATTTTAATTCTAAAATCTAACATTCCAAAACTCACTTTCATACTTCAAATGAATAATTTCAACTTTGCAACTCAGTTTATATAATTCTTAGAAACATGAGATAAGATCCTTTATTCTAACCGCGCTTGTTCAAATTTTGTTAACTTACTTTTCATGTAAACATAAATGAAAATCATTGTCCAATTTATAAGCTCTTATATTGTGTCTATAAAATACGAATAATAAAAGTTACAACATTTATAATAATCTATTTGAAAGCATTTAATAATCCTCGAACATTTCATTACGGTACAGGAAGTTTCAGCATTTTGTCTAAAGGCGCGATGCCATGCATCACTAGTTATTTTATTCCAATATACAAAGAAAACTTAGAAATGAAATCATCATTTGTTTCTATGTTTTTATTCATGATAAATCATTTTTATAATATAAAATCTCATGGAATTACCGATAAACTACGTATTGCACGACATCCCCGTACAACACGATACTTTTCATTCATTTAATCAAACAAAAGCTATAAAAATTGAGTCATTAAATTAATAACTCCAATGAAATCTTACCGATGCTACTTTTGAACGCAGTAGCTTTCTGATTGTATGAGAAATTATTAAAAATATAATAAACATCAATATCAGTAAATATGAATGCTAAGAATAATTTAACATCTTTTTTTAATTTTTTCAAAGAACAATGTCTTTATACAAATGTATACCCCTAACCATAGAAATGACTCTGAAAGAAATTCATTATGGGACTCATGCTTAACAAATAATATTGAAAACTTAAATTATAATAAGAAATTAAATAATTTATTTTTGATACTATACACTTTTAGTATTGATAATTACTGTTACTAATAATAACAGTTTTTATTTTGTTTTTGTTTCTGAAAACTTTTTAACTTCATATATTTTTCAAAATTTTTATAGAAATAAAGTGTTTAAAATTATATCAAAGTATTATTATTTAAGGGGTATATTTTTTATGTACATTTACCAAGGCGTTGCGATAAAAAATGTATATTTCGAAGCCATTACGAATAGTGTACAACGATTCACCGAAATTAAAGGCAGGTGTCAAATTTTATCATGGCATTAGAGACAAACTTGTGGTTCAGCAAAATACTTACTACTTCTATAAATGAAATTCTACGACGCAAAATTTTGTTCTATAATAATGTTACAATTCCTACATCTAAAAATCATCTGTGAGCCAAACGTTACTTAACATTCCGTAATATGGTGCATTTACTTTACATCTTCGTGATAAATGTCTATGATACAGAAGTATATGTTTGTCCAGTGATCTGTATATTTTATTTGTTTCGTTCTCTGATAATTTTCAGCCAATTTGAATGATTCAAAAAACAGAATGATTAGTTTTTGGACAAGGCAGATCCAGCCGTTTCGAAGATACGGGGCGAAAAGTGCCAAAAACGGTAGTTTAGTTTTTGGGAGAACGGAGCGTCTGATTTTAATAATTCAAAAAACATTTGACAACTTGTGTTGACAAAATGAATAACTGGTTGAATTTTTACAAATACAGGTCTAGCGGATTCAGAGATCGAGTAAAAAACGTAACTAGTTGTTATTGATATTTTGCCTTGAGGCAAGTTTTCGATATGTGAAAATAATCGACTTAATCAATAAAAAATAAATTAATTTATGAGTGATTAAAAGAATCCCCAGTGGATTCATTACACCAAATTGAAAACGAACAAACACGTTAACTAGGAGTATTTTCTAAAGGCAAATTTTCAAAAATCAACAATTGTTATGATTGAACCAGTTTTCATAGGACTTCAATGGTTTAGTATATTCATTAAGACCAAGTACTCTATCGTTATACCAAGTAAATCCTCTAATTTTAACAAACGTCGAAAAAACTATTCATTTTCTCAAACTTTGATAAATTTTTAAAATTAAACTACTTGTCGCAATGCCGTAACATTTTAGTAAGTTCTGTAAGACCATGATATATATCGCCAAAAAAAGTTCCATATAAATCGGCTTAAATTATTTTTTCAACAGTTAATTACAAGAAAATGGCTCGGTAGATTTTCACCTAAAACTAATCAGTATCATTTCCAAGTAATATATTTCGAACAGTTTTTGATTTTTTAAAATCGATTCGGCAGTATGAGCTTAAATGTAAACGAAAAGTTTCACACTTTTTTCCAAATAACAAAGAAACGGCTCGGCCGATCGTCGCACAAAACCGAGAAACGATAATCCTCATCGAGATACATCAAATGACTTTTAAATTTCTGAAATCGGTTCAGGCGTTTTTGAGCAATCTTCGATGAAAGGTCAAATTTTGAGAAACGCAAAAAAGATACTAATTTTGGCAAACTTTGACGAATTTTCAAAATTAAACGACTTGTCGTAGGGCCGTAATATTTTATTATGATCTATAAGACTGTGGTATCTACCGTCAAAAAAAATCATAAAAATCGTCGACATTTTTTTTTAACACTTTATTACAAGAAAACGGCCCGGCCGAGCTTTACCAAAAACTAATCAGCAGGATTCCCG